GAAAATAGTTCAAGGGTTTGCTCAGAAGAGCTTTATATCATTCGTTAAGATCTTAAAAAAAGGGCAAGGATATATTGTACAAATATTCATAATGAAATAATAGTTCTACATTGACTACGCTATACGTTGACAATTACTACTTGTTGTCTACAGGAGAGTCTGGCTGTTGTTTATGCCCCAGGAAGCCCCAGAGTCTACATCATCTATGAGCCTGTTATCAGACTGAAAGGTCAGGCGAAGACGGTCGTTACCCAACGTCCATTTAGCTCCAAAGAAGTGCAAAGTGTTTCTCTGGAACCAAATGCACTGAAAGCTCTGCTGCCCACTGAAACCCAAGGCCTGCAGAGCGTCCTGCACAGGATTGGAGGAACAGGGAATTTTGTGTTTCTGTTTGCACAGGTAATATAACTTTTTTTTTTTTATAAAACTCTTGCATCAGACATTATACTTTATTTACAGAACTATACCTTTAGCCCCAACACTGTTGTGTCTTTCTTATTCTTTCCTCATCGTGCCTTTGTTTTCTCCAGACTGTGGAGCTGAGTGACTGTGAAAAGACCCAGGCCTTGGCCCTGCAGGTGCTACTCTCTCTGTCCAAATTCAACCAGCATCGCATCCACGAAATGGACTCCTACCATGGCTACTCTATGATTCACCAAGTCCTTATAAAGTCCAAATGCATTGTGGGATATCATATGCTAAAAGTAAGTCTAGCTTTCAACTCTTCTCTTTCAAAACCTCGGCTGATCTGTGCAGGGAAACTTATTTTGTAGCTTTTGTTCTCACTATGACTCTGGTCCATGCCAGAGTCATAGTGACCCTCAGTGTTACCTGACCCTCGGGCTGTCAGTAATGTAGCTGCATGATGTCTCTGTGCTGAAATGGAGTCAGCCTAACTCAATGAAACACTGAGCTCATGAAGAGTAACCCAGCACCGATCACTGCCTCTGTAACTGCAGGCTTTCTCGTGTTGGATCGTCTCGATTTGAACTGACTCGGGTGTATCCTAACACGTGTTTTTCCATCTGTCTGGAGAATTTTATATAATTTTTTTTTATCCCTTAAAAAGTTTAGTGATTTATAATTACTGCACTAAAGCTTTGATTTATTTTTAATTTTAATCTATTTCAAATTTGAGTTGTGAGTTTGTGGGTGCTGACTAAAAATTAAAAAATGTATGTTTTTGAATTTACATTTTTTGTTTTTGTTATATGTAGTGCTGTCACTCACTGGGCTCAGTACCACATTTGCCTAAAGCAAACAGCACTTTGGACCAACTGTATAGGGCTGTGTCTCTGATGTGATGGCCATTCTCTGTCTCTTTAGACTCTACTGGATGGGTGCTGCAGTGCCCCGATCCTCATCCTGGGGGATGATGGACAGTTTTGTTTGGATGCAGAGTCTATTGCTGTGGTGCAGGACATCAGGCTTCTCTCTGATGTTTTGTTGGACTGGAAGATCTGGGCTAAGGCTGAGGTAATTAATTAAGACTACTGCTGCTCAGAAAAATAAAATGTGGCAAAAAATTGTCAAAAAAATTTAACTCAAAATATTGTCTGACCATTATCTAGTTATTAAATACCCACAGTGGAAGTACATCATTTGCAATTTCTGCCACTGTTATCACAATAATACAATAAATGTGCAAATATCATACATTTTTTAATACCTTCCACATATTTTTTATGTTTTTATTATCCCTAGCGAGACCAAAAGCTCAAAACATCAAAACATCATAATCAAATGATGAAGTTATAGAAAATTTATCAGGAGCGGCTCTCACTCAAAGGCTCATACAGATGAGGTTTACTCTGAAAATCCCTAAAGTTTCTAACATTAATGACAGATATCAACACAGTTTGGATGGGGAAAGTCTACATTTTTAACTGCTGAAAATATGTACCATCCACTATATTTTATTGTCACACAGTTTTAAAGAAATAGTTGAAAAAAAATACACATGAAGTATGTGTATGTGTGTACATGTGAATTCCGTGAGTTCTGCCTTTTTGTTTACTCTCTTGGTTTGTTACTCTTAGTGTGGAGTGTGGGAAACGCTACTCGCAGCTTTGGAGATTCTCATCAGGGTTCACCACCCTCATCAAGTTTTCAACATCCGACAGTTTCTTAAGGCTGAGGTTGTCCACCGCTTTCTACTCACCTGTCAGGTGTTACAGGTAGGTGATGAGAAATCCAACCTCTTTTGAGCATTTAACACAGCTTTTAACTGTCATTAAGTTCAAAATCAGGTTAAAAGTCAAGAATATTATATATATGTAGTTGTCCTTCGTGACCTGGTTGCCATTGGTAACTAGATGTTGCACTAGCAGTCCTGTTCTAAATCACTGACACCGCTGTGATTGTCTGAAGGAGCATCGGGATGGACATCTGACCAGCATCCCACAGGAGGTCTGTTTGTCATTCGTCAAAATCATCCAGGAAGTGCTGGGGTCGCCTCCTGACATGGACCTGCTCAAACTCATCTACAACTTCCTGCTGGCTGTTCACCCCCCCACCAACACATACGTCTGCCACACCCCATCCAGCTTCTACTTCTCGCTGCACATCGGTGAGGCTGCAGTGCTGTTCAAAGCACCATCTCAGTAGCAGAGTTCTTTTAGTCTAACGGCTGTCTTTGATGTGATTCTCAGATGGAAAGCTGTACCAGGAGAAGGTGCAGTCCATTATGTATCTGAGACACTCCAACAGTGGAGGGAAGTCTGCCAGCAGCTCTGTGATGTCACTGTCTCCAACCATCTTCACTGACACTCCCCAGGAAGGTACAGATACTTTGACTTCATTACATTTGACATGCAGGAAAAATCAAGCAGTAAACTTTAACGTGATGCTGAGGCTGACTTTATAAGTGAAGACATCAGCAGCGCTGGGTTTTCCCTACAAATACAGAACATTTGTTTAAGGGTTTATTGCTGCATCTGCTCTGGCTTCGAAGAGATGAATTACAGTCCCCAAAGTTTTATTCTAAGTCCCTAATGTAAAGACCATTATTCAGTGAAACAGCTGATGCATGAGCTTAAGTCATTGCCGTAGGTGCATGTTTATGAAACTGTCTCCTGTCTTTCCCCTTATTTTATTTTTCCCCTAAAGGATTTAATAGAGTCGATGTCCTTGACAGTAAATACTTGCTTCACTTTACTTTGATACATCCTCGTGTATGTTCTCTACATTTTTCAGAGTTTGATGTCAAATGTAAGCCTTTATTAACATAATCAATCATCTACCACTGTTGATCAGGGTACAAGAGCATTAGAGTCAATTACAGCAGTCATTGGGTGAGTGTCAGCTACATGGATATTTTACCAGTTTCACATTGACCATCATACACTTGGTCATAACAACTTATCTGTAGGTTTCTGGACTGCAGGATATAATCTGAACAGGCCAAAGGTTCAAATATAGAATTGATACTATGATCAGCAAAAGAAGTAGAAAAATAATCTAATTTATGTCTCATTTCTGTCTTCATAAAGTTACAGTATTAACGTAGTGTACTGAATTCTATAATTGTCTATAGTCCTTTAGCTTCTATAGAACTGTCTCTCTAGCAATAATAATTATAGTAAGAATCATCAGGAAGCCTACATGCAAATATCATTGTAGGATTCCCTTCAATGACGCTTAAAAAAGAGAGCAGCTAAAGGTTTTTCATATCTTTTACTTCACCATTGCTCTGCTCTCTGTAGAGTCCGTCACTACAGGATAGACCTTCAGCGGTCATCGGTTCCAAAGCCATACCTTACACTTGGATTATTTTTCCTTTTTTCAGCTCATCTCCCTGCTCCTTCCCCTGAACATGGAGGCGATGATCAGTCTTTACGGCCGCCTAGTATTGCGCCGTCACCGTACTCCTCCCCTCTGCTGACACCACGACTGGGACATGGTACTTCAAAGGAGGCTGGTGAAGGGGACGGTGTTTCCCTCACGACTTTGGGCAGCACAGAAACACTGAAAAAAAGCGGAGGTGATGAGCAACTCCTGAGCAGCTGTGAATCCGCCAAGACCATCTGTGACTCTAATGACCATGGTGAAGGAGGGGGCCAACGCCCCCCTTCCATTAGCATCGAAGAGGAGCGAGATGAGGCAGCAGAGGAGGACAGTTTGGCAGAAGGAAGTGTCGGGGTGGCAGAGTCCGAGGACAGATTTGACTGGACGAGTGACGAGGCACCCAGACGCCCTGATAGCCTGAAAGGAATTCAGTCCTTCCAGAGGAGCCACAGCAACCTGGCCAGCCTGGGCCTGGCTTTCCCAGCAACAAATGGATCACTTGCAGTTGGCCGCTGGCCCAGTGTGGCTGATCGGGGTTCCATGCCTGAGGACTGGGAGAGCTACACATACTCACCTGGATATGAGAGAGTTCACAGCAAGACGGAGTCTAACGACAGGTATGTCAACTCATTGTCATGGAACTAGTAATAATAGAGAGGAAGAAATAAGTATTGAAAGAATGTGGGGGCTGAAAAGTACAACAACACCAGAGAGGAATGGAAAATGACATCAACAAAATCAAGATAGATGAGTTCTGAAAGATGGGCCTGCTCTACACTGCTCCTCTACTGATGAGGAATTTATTCACTTAGTGAACCATCTCTCATCTTACTGTCGTGGTTGCTTGTGGGTAAAAGGAAGTCTCAATGTGTCATCTTGTGTCTATTTGTCGATTACATTTTTAGTATTTATCTGTTTTTACGTAGAAGGAGTTCATAGTTCAGTTTTAACCAAGATTTTTTATTTTAATCCTATAACCTCTTCTATGAATTAAGAGAAATCAATGAATGCATTTCTTGTTTAAACTATTTCAAATGGAAATGAAATGTTTTTTTTCTACCTCAATTGAATATTCTGCATATTTCTACTCTTGCTCAAGAGCACTTGGCACTTTTTCACTTCATAGCCTGAGCTCTGAAGTTCTTACTGTGTATTTGTCAGATCCAGTACTGAGGACTGCCTGGTGCTGATCTGCTGTGGACTCTATGATCTTCTGAGAGGCATCCTACTGCTCTTGCCTGATCTCATGCTAGAGGAAGTGATGGACAAACTCATACAGCCAGAGGCCCTCATTGTCCTGGTCAACCACTCATCACCTCTCATCCAGCAAGGAGTCATGAAGGTTAATGTACTATCCTCTCTTAAAAAAAAACACACAGAGGGGTTTTTTTTTGTGCAGTATTAACATTAGTTTGTTCTCATCCAGTGCGAAAGGTTTTTAACTAAAATCATCCATTTATTTATTGGTTACTTCAATGTGGACATATTATAGATAATAAGACTATAGACTTATAGATATAGACTAACTATAACTATAGATTACACATTAACTGTGGAAATAGTAGAGAGAGAGAGAATATCTGTTAACCCAAGGCTGAAGGATGGATTTCAACAGCCAGTCAGAGGCAGTGTAGCCTTAACATATCATTTTTTATCTTAATAAAGCTAGTTCACACCTGAAACTGAATTCACCAGAGAAGTCAGTTTCCTTTTTCAATTCAACACAGCTAGTTATTCTGAATTTGTAACCTCTGTTCTAAGCTAATGAATCCAATACTGTAGCTTCATATTAATGTGATTGGTCTTAATCCATCCCACAGCTGTTAGATGCCTACTTCAGCCGGGCTCTCAAGGAGCAGAAGGAGAAGTTTCTGAAGAACCATGGTTTCTCACTACTGGCCAACCAGCTCTACATCCACCAGGGCAGCCAGGGTCTCCTGGAATGTTTCCTTGAGATGCTGTTTGGAAGACCAGTGGGCCTAGAGGAAGAGTAAGTAACACAGAGAATATCAGTCATTATTCATGTGCTGTATTTTTTCTGCTGTTGTTGTAAATCTATATCTGTGTCTGTTGTCTAGTTTGGATCTGGATGAAATGGAAAGTATCTCAGCCTTCAGGAAACGCTGCATCATTCCAGTCTTGGGTCTGATTGAGAACTCTCTGTATGAGAACTCTTTGGTGCACAACATCTTGTGTATGCTGCTGCAGCTACTCAATGCTTGCCCCAAATTGGCAGACATCCTTCTAGACCACGGGCTGCTCTACGTGCTCTTCAACACTCTCTCCACCCTCAATGGCATGGAGACCAGGTACTGCAGCACAAACACAGGATCACTTTTCCCTGTTATTTCAGGTAGTTTCTGTCTCCTTACATATTTTATTCTCCTTTCTTCTTCCTTTCTCTGCAGTATTCCTCTAAATGACTACAAACTCCTGGTGTGTGACATCCAGCAGCTGTTAGTGGCTGTGACCATCCACTCCTGCAGCTCCTCAGGGTCCCAGTACTTCCGCATCATCGAGGACCTCATTACTCTGCTGGGTTTCATGCAGACCAGCAAGATGCGTCGCACACAAGGTGAGAGCCGGCTTTTAGTGGGCTCATACATGTGCACAATAAATCAGCGTTGTCATCTTCTTAGCTCCTCGCCGCTTGCGTGATATAACGCTGTCAGGCTCTGCTGCGGAAATATAACTGTCACTTCATTATCTACGACTGCGCAGTGGAAGCTCTTTGAGAAAAACATATGAACTAAGAGCTATCTCACATCTTCATCTTCCCACTTAATGACTTTTACTAATGTGCTCCTAAATTAACTCTCTGAAATAAACTCCCTGTGAAAAAGTGTCTCTTCTGTCCCCTAACCATCAGCACTCACTTTTTTAAAGATTCAATCAATTTGCGAGCTTTAAAAAATATTAAACCGATGTCATGCATTGGCACGTAACACTTTCTTAATTTTGGAAAATATTATTAGCACTAATCCTGCAGCTTTTTGGGATTTTTTTTTTCTTCTGGATCCTGTCTTCTGGTCTATTGTATTGCTAAATTGTTTGGGACTGTTGTAGCTAACATTAGCTCTGGTGTTTGTGGCATTAATAAAAGTAATTGAAATTACAAAAAAAACCAAAAAACTAAATATGTGGCTAATTTCTTTTGCACCTGCTTTACTAAATGCATTCAAGCACCTTCTCTGTCATCTTTTTGGCCTTGCTTTTGCATCGAGAATATAAATCTAAGTGGCAACGGTTATGTTGCCATATTTCACGCCTGTTTTATATCAGATATTTTGTCAAACTCATAGAATTTGCTGAAATTCTATTGCAACTGAAGGTCACTCTGCTGCTCTTGTAAGTTGTGTTATTGTTCTGCAGTGAAAATCTGTTCAGTGACGGCCAAATAAGATTGGAGTGTCAGGGAGATACATTAAAAAAAAGAAGAAAATATCTACCTTTATTTGATTTAATATATATTTGTTACTTTGAGTGATTTATGTTAAACCCATAAAGTCTGCAAGAACCTATGCCTCATAGTTGATGTTATCTTTTAACATTTTGCTCATTACTTTCTATGATTTTCCAGAGATGGCAGTAGCGCTGCAGTTTCGTGTCCTTCAGTCAGCCATTGAATTCATAAAGACCACAGCCAATCAGGAACCTCAGAAGCTGAGTAGCTCCGTAAACACACCGAGTTCTCCACATCACGCCATCTACCAGAAACGTAAAAGCATCGCAGGTGAGTATTCCTTCCAGTGATAGAAACTTTCTCTGTACGGTCTTTTTTTCCCAGGTTCCATCAATCACCATATCAAGAACATTTTACTGCTCTTCTCTCATCTGACTGTTTATTGATCTTCTGCTCATCCCCGTCCGAAGGTTCCGTTGCCATGAAAGACTCCATTATCCCCCGCATTCCCCGACAGCACTACTGCTCCTATGGCCAGATCCCCCTGCCCCCTCCCTTCAGCTTTTTGTCTCAGGACTCCCCCCTCCCCTCCCCCTCAGGAGCACCGTCCTACATGCTCCACTGTGACTCAGGTAGCTTGGACTGAGGTCCAGAGCGACGAACATCCTCTCTGTCAAAGAGGCATGTTTCCTCACATTTGCTGTGAACTCACCCTCTCACACCCCCAGATCACCTTGGGAGTTAATTAGCCCAGTACGTCTGAGAGATACTGGTGCCTCCGTGTGTGCATGTTCCAATGCTTAACTGAATCACTGTTAAGCATTTCAGCACAGATGACACTTTGATTATTGAATCCTTTTAATCACGTCTCTGTTAATTGAGGAATGGGCTTCTGCATGACTTTAATCTGAACTTGAACAAGTGGTGTGTTTTCATAGAGTTCTAGGTCAGAAACTTGACTTGTTATATATTTACAATTGGAATGCTTGTAAACTGCCATATCATATTATATTGCATTGGTATAAATGGGTGACCCTTTAAAATATTAAGTTTATTTATTGGCTTTTAAGTTATTTTTTTAACAGTCATATAGTTGACCTCAACATCATAAAGCACATCATAAAAAACACATCATTATGGGATAATTAGGTAGTATATCAGGCCTATTAAACATGGTCCAGTATGTGTGGATGCCATTGCTGGATTGATAATATTATTATTATTTTATTTTATTTATTTTTTTATAGGCCGACGGCGTTTTTCTCTGGCCCAAACTGATTCGCTCCTGATGCGGATGCGCTCTGTAGCCAGCGATGAGCTCAACCAGATGATGCAGAGGAGAATGAGCCAGGAAAACCCTATTCGTGCCAGTGAGACTGAGTTTGTCCAGCGGCTGCAGAGGCTTGTTGTCCTGGCAGTCAACAGACTGATTTACCATGGTAAAATTGACTAATTTATATCATTTTTTTCTTTCTTTGTACATAATCCCAACCTGTTTTTTAATCCTGGTTCTGGTTGAAACCCTCTCTCATCTCAGAAGTCAGTCAGGACCTGTTTGACCTACTCAATATTCCGGACTCTCCAGACCAACAGCCTTTCACACCAGATCCAAGTGATCTGCAACAGGAAGATAGTGGTCCCACATCAGTTCCACACTCTCCCACACCGTTAACACTGCCACCTGCCAGCAAGAAGAACTTTCAGAAAGACATTCTCAGACTCATGATGGACGGGATCAAAATTAGCCTGGTAGAACAAAATATACTGAGCAGCTTTTTCAGCTCAATCAAGATTATTTTAAATTTAAAGTGACAGAACATGTCCTGATGTGGGGAATGATTTTAATGTCACAGGGCAGCACTGGTCGGGGAGGAGCCCCACATCAGCAGTGGCGAAGGATCCTGTGGTCTTGTCGCGACACATTCCGGGTTCAGATCGGCCGCCTGCTGGTGCACACGCTGAGCCCTGCACTTCCTCTGTGTGACAGGAAAGAGTCCCTGGATTTTGTGTTTGATCCTAGACATTTGGATATTCTAAAAGAGAGCCTGAGCCCAGGACTAGAGGTAGGTGTGAAGGAAATTTATTTTTTAGTAACCAATAAACACATACATTTAAAGCATGCAATTGCATTGGATTTAGTGCAAAAATAGCTAGGTCACAGATATTGCAGCTTGGAAATAGCCAAAACTATAGCAAGAAATTTTGAATAATTAGCATATTTGACATAGCTATTAAATGACTGAAGAGCAGAAATAGAGTAAAAAATAAAACTAGCAAAAGATGAGCCAAGAGAATAGCTCAGCTAAGCTAAAAAAGGGGCTAAATATATTGATTTATTTTGAAAAGCAAAAACCTCTCCAAAAAGCAAAAATCTTAAATTTGTGCTTTGAATAAAAAGGATTAAAAATGCACACAGAAAGTGATTTACAGGAGTAAAAAAACACCTGGAAAGGTTAATTCCCCAGTAAAAAAAATTTAAGAAAAATAAAATTCTCAATGTGTCAGTGCTAACGTTTTTGTACAAGATGTGCTTCCACTACATTAGCTTGTTTTTTCTTGTTTTGTCAGACTTCGCTTCAAAAATACCCGCTGTGTTTGTGCTCTTCATCTGCCCTTTGCATTGTTATTTTTTCACTCTGCTTCCCACCAGGCGTTGTTGAAGGTTTGCCGGTTGCACAGGGCTTTGTTTTCCTACCATCACCAATGTGACTCGCTTCAGTGCTACCTGATTTTTTTTTTTCTTAAATTTGTGCTTTGCTCTCATGCCTTTCTTTCACTCAGCATGGGCCAAAGTTGTCACTGTACCTGTACGAGATGCTGCATGATCACAAGGACGGCCTCACCAAAGATGAGCAGAATGCTGTGGGTGTTTTCATGACCTCGCTGAAGCTTTGTGGCCATCGCTGCATCCCACCCAACGCTCCACACAAACAAGAGTTGCACAGGGCTATAAAAGAAGTAATTCCTACCAGGCCAGAAAAATGGCCTCTGTGGCCGTTCAACAAAACATTAAAAATATATCTTTTTGTGAACTCATAGATGTATCTCAGTTAGTTAACACATGATAAGATTTTTTTTCTGCTTATTTCCTGTTAACAGGAAAAACTGAAGTATGAAGCTGAAGAGAAAACAAGCAAAGTGGCATGGGAAAAGAAAATGACAAATACTCAGAGAAAGTAAGTGTGGGTCTATACTTCATTTTCAACACAGTGTTGGCACAGGACAAAACGTTCTTTTGTTTACAACATTTATTTTATTGCTTATCAGTCTTATCCAGAGGCTAGAAGGAAAGTCGAAGGACATTTCCAAGATAGCCGCTGATATCACCCAGAATGTGTCTCTGCGACAAGGCATGGAGAGAAAGAAAGTCATCCAGCACATCAGGGGTCTCTACAAGACTGACCTGAGCGCCAGCCGCCACTGGCAGGAGCTGGTGCAACAACTCACACACGATCGGTGAGTCATTTTCTGTACGCACTCATCTTGGAGCCCTTAGTCAAGTTGACATTCAGACTAACTGGAGTATCCATGAATTTGTTTGTGTCTAAGCACAGTAAAACGCTCACCCTACTAAGATTAAAGAGGATGCAGTAAAGGTGTTAAATGTGGGTTGATCCAGTCAGTCTCTCAGTCAATATTTCAAATTCCTGGAGACTTGCTGCGACAGCAGCTCAACATCATCTTTGAGTTACATCGTGCCTTTTACTGTGTCTCTTTTACCACCTAAAGGCATCACAAACACTTTAAAAACAAAGCTTCAGAATTAGTAAAATAAGAAAGTGAATCACCACCATACACTTACATACATATTTTTTACCTCTGTGGATAATACATCAGGGTGTGTTAGTGACATCTGCGATGGTCTGTTTCAGTGCTGTTTGGTACGATCAGACCTCCTACCCAACGTCCTGGCAGCTGGATCCCACTGAGGGGCCTAATCGGGAGCGACGGCGGCTACAGAGGTGCTACCTCACCATTCCCAACAAATACTTGCTCAAAGACAGGCGCAAGTCTGAAGGTAACAGTGAACTTATCTGACAAACATTCTGCCACATGTTCCCTTTGTTGTTTACTTTCACATCACACACACCAATGTTTGTTTTCTTCTTTTCAGACACCATGAAGCCTCCACTGTCCTTCCTTTTTGAGGATAAGACTCACTCTTCATTCTCCTCTACTGTCAAAGACAAAGCCACCAGCGAGCCCATCAGGTATAAATTTCTCCCTCGCTGTGTTTTACCTCTGTGACTGTTTTGTCTATATTTAGAGAGCGAGAATGTTCTAAAGGAGAACACAAATACTATTGACATATTGTGTGTTTTTTTTAAGTTGTTGTCTTCAGCTTGGAAAAATGTAATTTTCTTGCTTTTCTTAGATTTACCAGACGGTGCATCAGTGTTGCCCCCTCCAGAGAGACGGCAGGGGAGCTGCTGCTGGGTGAGTACCTGAGCCTCACTCACAGGTGCTGGAAGGATAAGACAAAAGAAACTTCCAGTCACGAGGTCACAAAGATAAATGTAGCATCTCTGAAGCTCCAGAGAACGATTCTTCGCCCTAACACAAGTGTTCGTTGAATTCAGCGGGTCAAGCTTTTGTTTGTCTTCCTCTTAGTAACTAAAATCAGAAACACTGTTTGTCTCACAGGAAAGTCTGGGATGTACTTTGTGGAGGATAACGCTGCTGATCACGACAACCAGGTTACACTAAACTACACGTGCAGGTTTTGTTTTCCTTGTCACGGACGTTGATGTAAAGTTAAAACTTTATCTGCTTGTGTGATCGGACAGAGCCTTCAAGCGGAGACCGAGGCTCCTTCGTTTTCCTGGACATACGAGGAGATCAAAGAGGTGCACAAACGCTGGTGGCAGCTGAGAGACAACGCTGTGGAGATTTTCCTCACCAACGGGCGAACCCTGCTGTTAGCCTTCGACAACACCAAGGTGAGTGAGTCATGTGGATAGGCAGCAGATCACTGCAGAAAAGAAACAATTCATTTCTCATTTAAAAATGAAAATGTCACACAGGATACAATTTAAACAATAAAAACAAAAAGAACACAGTTACTCAAAGGAAAGGAAGATTGAAAAGACAACATTCAATTTAAAGAAGTCCTGCAGAAGGAACTGTTGAACAGCCTGTTTGTTATTCTGTCCTTGATGCTTGTCAGGCATTGTAGTTTTCTCTGCCAGAAATCAATCATGATAATAGGATACAAAAGCATTGTGCTCTTTCAGGAGAGGACAAATCTACACAAGCTGGATTTAAATACAAAAAGGATGTTACTATGTGACTGACTTGTACAAATTCAAGGTTTGTGAAGCAGAAAAGTCAAAATCCATTTTCCCACAGATTGACGGGGGACGTTCAAAGATAAATAAACAGGAAAATGTTTTCATTTTCTTTCTGTTTTCATTTGTTTGTGCTTTTTGCCGTCACAATCTACAGTAACTCTTCATCCTGGGTTCAATAATGATAAATCAAATCCTGTCGTTTTATGACCAAGATGTGTAGATGCACATTTTGCTAATCAGCATCAGGGCATCCTGTTCATTCATTATCTTCTGGGTTTCATCAAAACGAAACCATTAGCTGCTTCTATATGCCATTAGACTCATTTTCCACGGTACATTAATCTCAGCGGCACAACAGTGTTTTTCAGTTCCCCGTTTTATTCTGTGCTTTATTCTAATTCTCACTCTGACAGTGGAAATAAACTCACAGCTTTCTTCTGGCCCTAGTTCCGCGATGACGTCTACCACAACATCCTGACCTCTGATCTGCCAAATCTGCTGGAGCACGGAAACATCACGGCGCTGACACAGCTGTGGGGCTCAGGTCAGATCACCAACTTCGAGTACCTCACACATCTCAACAAGCACGCGGGGCGCTCCTTCAATGACCTCATGCAGTACCCTGTGTTCCCCTTCATCTTGAGAGACTACACCAGTGAGACACTGGATCTGCAGGAAGCAAGCATCTACAGGTGCGTGTCAAAGTTCAAGTGTTTGTGTGTTTTAAAGAGTTTAAATTAAAGTTATATCGCTACAACTAAGTCAGTGCAATGTGACTTGAAACTGGCTGTGCCAGATGTCAAATCAAATTTAAGAATTATGATGTGGATTTGTACATCAGTTAAATTTCTTGCTTCTTCTGTGCTGTACAGGAACCTGATCAAACCCATCGCAGTGCAGTCGAAAGAAAAGGAGGACCGATACGTGGACAATTACAGGGTGAGACGCTGCGGTGCCTGTTTAGACACGTTTTCTTCTGCTGCTGCTGGAAAAACATAGTGACACGTGTGTTTGTTCTGTAGTACCTGGAGGAGGAGTACAAGAAGGGCATCCGTGAGGACGACCCCATGCCTCCGGTCCAACCCTACCACTACGGCTCACACTACTCCAACAGCGGCACCGTGCTGCATTTCCTAGTACGAATGCCTCCTTTCACCAAAATGTTCCTGGCATATCAGGGTGAGTCACAAATTTCCTGGGAATTACGTGAGAAAAATATGTTCCACAGCTCTAAAAAATCTTTTAGGAAATCCAACTATACTGGGTCCAGTGTTACACTTCTCTCAAATGTGTTTTATCTTAAACAAAGGTGTGTCTCTAAGGCTGTGTTTAATCACATAGATTAATATCAGTATTAGTTCACCTTTGTACCTGTCCTCTGATCACCTGTTCCCTTCAGGCTTTTTCTTAGTTCTTCCATGTATGTTAATTATTGCAGTCTATTTTATTAATTAATTTCCTTTTATTCATCTCTGCACTCAGATCCTCTGAAGCTTCATTTTGTGTGATTACAAATGTATTCACCAAATGCGGCATCTACCTTCATGAAAGAAGATCTTTTCAATCAGTGAGTTGAATTTCTAATTAGATTTTTTTTTTTTATTCTTAATCAGATCAGAGCTTTGATATCCCAGACCGTACCTTTCACTCCATGAACACCACCTGGCGACTCTCCTCCTACGAGTCCATGACTGACGTTAAAGAGCTCATCCCAGAGTTTTTCTACCTCCCAGAATTCTTGGTCAATAGAGAAGGTAATTATTTTCCCTATTATTTAGCTGTATAATTTTAACTTTGCTAAATAGTTAATTTTTTTTTTACACCTGAACAGGGTTTGACTTTGGGGTTCGTCAGAACGGTGACAGGGTGAATCATGTAAATTTACCGCCCTGGGCTCGAAACGACCCACGTCTGTTCATCCTGATCCACCGACAGGCGCTGGAGTCAGAGCAGGTCTCACACACACTGTGCCAGTGGATAGACCTGGTGTTTGGCCTTAAGCAGAAAGGCAAAGCTGCTGTCCAGGCCATCAATGTCTTCCACCCTGCTGTAAGAAACTGCTATTCTTAGTGTTTGGCTCAGAACCAGTGAGAAAACTAATGTTGAGTTGATGCAGATCTAAGTGTCATTTTCACTTCCACAGACCTACTTTGGAATGGACGTCTCTGCAGTGGAAGACCCAGTGCAGCGACGCGCTCTGGAGACAATGATAAAGACGTACGGACAAACGCCCAGGCAGCTATTCAGCGCCTCTCACATCGGCCGGGCCGGACCGAAGCTCACCATGGAGGGCGAGCTGCCGGCAGCCGTGGGCCTCTTGGTTCACCTGGCCTTCAGAGAAAACAGAGAGCAGATCAAGGAAATAGTCTGTCCGGTAATCAACTGACCATTGGCTGTCTACTGAACGTTAATGAACCAGTAAAGCATGATTGTTTTTGTTGGTGAAATGACTTTTTCAGTGTCCATATAATAATAATAACAGAATCTACACTATCAGACGTTATTAGTGGAAATACTGATACCAAACTGTCTCCTGAAGGCTGTGCTGTCAGTAGCTGAAAGGCTAAATATTTAAAAGTGCAGACCATTCATCATCCACAAAGTGAAATTTATGCATCTTGAAGATGTTTTTTTTTCTTTAAATTTGGAGCTAGTTGCATTTATTACTCCTAATTACCTGCACTTCAAAAATCCAAAATAATAGCAGGGCTGTCAACAATGATGTGTTTTTTTAATAGACTAAACATTTCCCAAAATATTTGATCAATTGTCGAGTCTGTTAAATGGACAGAAAAAGTTGGAAAATGCCAATAAATGTGTTATAAAAGATAATTGTTAAATTGACTCTAAGAGGTAAGAAACCAAAAGCTAAAGTGAAACAACATCAACAACACTCTCAACGAACACAGATTCAATAATGTGAATTAGTTTTGGGCCCATTTAGTTCAGTCGTCTATTTGTTGCTGAATTATCACACAATGATCGTGGCTGCAGCCAGTAAATATGAGAGTAAAGCACAGAAAGGTGAAACCATCAGCAGCTCACCTTTTGTTCTGCTCTTCTCCCCATCAGAGCCCACTGCCCTGGATCAAAGGTCTGAAGTGGGGTGAGTACGTGGGCTCACCCTCTGCTCCAGACCCAGTGGTCTGCTTCAGTCAACCGCACGGGGAGAGGTTCGGATCCCTGCTGGCTCTTCCTACGCGAGCCATCTGTGGTCTGTCCCGGAAGTTCTGCCTCATGATGATCTACAGCAAAGAACAAGGTAAAGTTCTGCTCCGATCAGTAGTCTGTTTTACCACAGGGTTTTTCCTCTTTCACTCCACGCTCTCTCCACTACTAAGGTGTGCGGAGTATGCACAGCACAGACATCCAGTGGTCAGCCATCCTGAGCTGGGGCTACGGCGACAACATACTGCGGCTGAAGAGCAAACAGAGTGAACCGCCCATCAACTTCATTCAGTGCTCACAGCTCCATCAGGTAAAACTAAAGTGTGTTAGCTGTCACTATAAGACGACTCTGCTACGAAGGTTGAATCCCTGGGAACCAATGAAGGGATTTATAATTTAAACATTCTCACAATTTTTACAGTTAATCTGCTCTAGGGGTCTAAATCCTTCAACATCCAAAGAGTCATAAATATTTCATCAGCAAATACATATTAAAAAGATATAGGTACTTTAGTAAAACTACATATTTATGTAAAAAAAAACGCACTACAATAAAATAATCAACATTTCTTGCTCTACCTATAAATACTACACCAGATCTTGGGTAAAGAGGACAGTGATATTATGTTTTTTTTTTTTTGCTGCTAGCAAGCAAGCTGAAAGTTTAGTGTAATGTTTGAAAATGATCAACCTTGATGCAGGAATAACCTCTAAAGACTGATCTGAAGATTGAAAATGATTTTCAGATAAATACTTGTTGCGAAGCGTCTACGGACTTTTTGACTGACGCTGGTATTTTTTTGAAGGTAGAGTCAAATCAGCAAAAATCAATTCTCCCTCTCCGTCTCCTGTCCCTCCTGCAGGTGACCAGCTGTGCCTGGGTGCCTGATGGCTGCCAGCTTTTCACAGGTAGTAAATGTGGAGTCATCACCGCCTACAGCAACCGCTTCACCAGCACCACGGTGAGTTTCCATGGCGATATCTCCCTCTAACCTTCTACCTCCACATCTACTCCCAAACCACCCCCCTATTACCAACCCTGTATTCCTCCTCCTCTCTCTTCTCCCTTCTCCCTTCTCCTCTTTAGACAATTCCACTGTGCTCAAACGCTGGGCTTTATTAGTCACATCACAGTTTGCCCTTGAAACACATTTCCACTGAGCCTACAAGTAGGATTAAGGGTCTGGGAGTTCAGGCATCAGAGAGAGGCTCCGTAGTCCTTTATTGTTCCCCACCGACATGTAGCTACTTACATTTCCTGTTTCTCCGAAGCTGAAGGGTGTTTCAGTGGGAATTGATCCACGCTGCTGAGAAAATCCTATTGCAGATTGATTAATGAGCTTATTTTTAGAAATGGTGAAAACCAGATACTTCATCCACGTGAACAATGAGTCAAATGCAAGTGTTCAGAGGTGGACGACCCTCAGGTCCTCTGGTAATATTCATCATGAGTGATGTAATTACAGTAATTACCATCGGTGTTGAAGAAAAACTCAGAGACATTTCTAGCTAAACAGAGAAGCTCCACTGGTTAAGGATGTGCTCATTTTCACTTGGTTGAAAATAATTAAGTGTTCACAGACTTGAACGAAAGTTCTATTTAATAGTAATGATTTCATTTTTGAGGAAAATTGAGGAACAGTGCATACGAGCATGTGATTGGCTGCTCAACCCTAAGTATGTCAAAAAAATCAAAAAGAGGGATTTTTTGTAAGTAACAGATTGGAAATTAGACTAAAGGTGGATCACCCAATGGAGTGACGGCTCATACTATGTACGAACAAATAATAATCAAAACAAGAGGTGTTGGCATCTTGGATGGTTAACAACTCTAACTCTGCTTCTTATCTGCTCTGAAAGGGTTAACGTTAAAACCATCATCTCCATGGTGTCTGTACATGTTCTAATATTCCGAACATGAAGGCTTCAACGTTGTCTGTCTTTCCACAGCCGTCAGAGATGGAGGTGGAATCTCAGGTCCACCTGTACGGTCACACTGGAGAGGTCACCAGCCTGTTTGTCTGTAAACCCTACAGCGTCCTGATCAGCGTCAGCCAAGATGGCACCTGTATCCTCTGGGACCTCAACAGGTCAGTCCAGTCCTCAGTCCTCTAGTCCTCAGGTGTGTGTGAGTGTGATGGTGTTCGTGTGCTGTCTCTGTGAGCTGCTCCCCTGTTTCTCCAGGCTGTGTTACGTCCAAAGCCTGACGGGACACAAAAGTCCAGTCACTGCTGTCTCTGCCAGTGAGACCACAGGAGACATTGCCACAGTGTGTGACTCAGGTGAGGACCGTCCTCCATCAGCACAGTCCTTATTGTGCTAATGTCTCCCTGATACGTGACATTAACGTTAACTGCTGTTCCTGTTGTATTCAGTTGGCGGCGGCAGTGACCTGCGTCTGTGGACGGTGAACGGCGACCTGATTGGTCATGTTCACTGCAGAGAGATCATCTGCTCTGTGGCCTTTTCCAACCAGCCTGAGGGAGTGTCTGTCAATGTCATAGCTGGAGGCCTGGAGAACGGTGTTGTCAGGTGATAGTGATAGAGATTAAAAAAAAAAAAACCACACACACACTCACTAACACAACATCTGTTGTTGTGAACTGTCTTTCCATCCAAATATTTATTTATTTACATCTTTCTTTTATTCACAGTATTGGCAGAATTAACCCATTGATTAAAACTTTTAATGCCAGCCACTTATGGTCACTCTAATACACAGTCAATAAACATGGTATTATGTGGACACAGTGTTGGAGCTCAGAGTGCCGTTTGGTCTAGTGGAGCCTCAGACCCGCCTCACTGAGCACAGGGCAGTGATCCACCTATATTGAGTTAAAGACATCTGTGTCTGTTTTACAGAACTGTTCTTTTCACATAAACTCAAGTCTGGCCTTGATTTTCACACATTTAGATCAATGAAATTCTACTTAATTAACAGTAAAGTCACAGCTGGTGAATAATTAAGACTCACAGAGAAAGTCCAGAAGGGTCTGGTCCAGTTGGAAAACTGGGATTAGGACTCACTTTCCTTCCTTCCTTCCATCGAGGACAAACTCAGGGAAATTAGGGTTAAATGATGGTCTAAAGCAAATTAATATAAACCAGGACAGAGTTCATATTAGAGTTGTATTTTTGGGATCAAACCTCAACCTTCTGGTCTTCTTGTTGTTTCACACTCAGGTTGTGGAGCACCTGGGACTTGAAACCAGTCCGAGAGATCACTTTTCCTAAATCCAGTAAACCTATCGTCAGGTATGTCGTTTTTTGTACTGTATTTTTGTAACGTGTGGTATAACCTGATGACTATGTCTTGCTCTCTCTCCCTATCTCTCTCTCTCTCTCTCTCCTGTAGCCTCACGTATTCATGCGACGGACACCACCTCTACACGGCCAACAGCGAGGGCACGGTGATGGCCTGGTGTCGGCGTGACCAGCAGAGAATGAAGCTGCCCATGTTCTACTCCTTCCTCAGCAGCTACGCTGCAGGCTGACAGCGTGGTGTCTGACGTTTGAGACTGTCAGCAGGAGGAGCTCCGCTCTCCTTCTCCTTCTTCTCCTGCTCTTTGTTCCCTCTCAGGGGAGCACTTGTCAGCATGGCCTCGACCTCCCTGAACCCTCCTTGACTTTTAAGTAAAGCCATCGCCAGCTGAGCAAACACTACTCCCAGCATCCAGAGATGATTAATATTAAATAGTATTATATGTATATAAATATATATTTATAGACTCGCGGCGGGGGGATTGCGGGGTGACCACGGGTGGGTGGGGGGGTGGAAGGGTGGATGGATTATTTTGGTCGAGGCTGCAACAGACACTTTGCACAATAATGCATTTTGTCTTACATTGTCTTGTCTTGATTTTTCTGCACGCTGAGATTCTCCTGCGATTCCCTGCTTTTGGTGTTGACCTTTTTGTTTTTTTTTTGTTTGGTTTGGTTTTTGCTGCTATGATCTGACAAAATTCCAGGTGCGTGCCCCACAAATCACCCACATCTCAATAGCGGGTCTCCTCAGAACTCAGTGTGTTTGTGGTGCTGACACCGCAGTAGTGAAGAGGAAAGAACATCTTCATGTCTGTCGCTGTGGGACGACCCACCCTGTGGGAGTGGGACACTGATCCACTCAGTAGTCACAGCCCTGCGTCACATACTATACATACTAGCTCAGCAGTAGATTGTCATTGGGGGTGGTGGGCTCCGGGGGCTGGACTGATTCCTTAAATATGAGCTGATTCTTCTGCTGACTTCTGCATGCTGATGTGAGTCTGACCTTGTCAGAGTGACATCTGCTGTCACCTGGCCTCTGATTGGTTAAACGATTTATTGATTGGATTTTTTTTTTTTGGTTTGGTTTTGTTTCACTGCTGGTCTTATGTACTACAACCCTTCACTGCATCATCCAGCTGGCTGACATAATGTAAGAGAGAGCAGCTAACAAAACAGCATTAGCTTCCTGGAGCTAGAAGAGATGCAGAGAGGATTAGCCTTTGACTAGCATCATCCTCACTGAGCCTTTGTACCTGCTCAGCATTAATGAAAAGTTCACTCTCCTCCAGTCTGACCTTGGCATTACACTACATCTAGACATGTTCCTCTCTCGTACACCTGCTCTGAACCCTGCTCCTGTCCCTTCACTCTTTAGTCAGTGCACAGCTTTGGTGGAGAGCGTCATTTCTCTGAGCAGAGATGTTTAATCAAACAAACCGCGAAAAATCGAAGCAGGATCCTGTCGACCGAACATCTCCCTCCTTCTCCCACCCCTGTGTCTGTGACACTTCTTCACATTCCTAATAAAATCTACCGCACTTCGTCATTTCGTCAGTGATGATATGTTAGAATATATATATATATATATAAACTATGATTTAATTCCATACTCTCTGATCTTAATCTAGACTGTGCTTTCATTTGATGCCACTAATAAATCCCGTTCACAACAGCAATATCAGGCGTCAACATGCAATAGGTCATGATGTGAGGAACCTGTGGTTTCCCTCCAGCAGCTGTGGCTCTTCTCCTGTTGCCTTCACTTTCCGAATCCCTGTCGTACATTTCTCACCTTGCGCATTTCACTTCTTTACATGAAAGGGAATATTTCTGAGCGTGTCATTCCTTTTGTGTTCTTCTCGTCACGTCCGTGCTCGTCGTCTGTCTCTCTGTCCTTATTCAGGCCTGTTAAACGCCTGAGGTTACTGCGAATGTTTACTATGTCTCCTGTTTGCATGTGTACATACCTTTTCCTCCTCTGAGATTTTAAGAGTTTTTCCATGACAACCAAAATCCCATTTCCCTTAAGACATCTGTGTGTGCAAATATCCTGAAAGGCAGATGTAATAACTGGCGATGGAAAAGAAATATTTTTGTTAACTTGAGCTATGCATTAATGAAGATCCTTGTCTGAGGTCCATGGAGTCTGACCTGTGTGTGTGCAGGTTCTGTGGTTTGGTATCTACTGAAAGGTCATACTGTGTTGGTTTGTGCTTGTGTATATATATATATATATATATATATATATATGTGTGTGTGTGTGTGTGTGTGTGTGTGTGAGTGTGCTTGTGTATGTATGGACAAACCAAGTGATGTGTATATTATAAATATATAAATATTTGAAGAAATATTACTACATCTGTTGTCAGTTTTAACTTCACTCTTAGCATAAAAATTCACTTATTTTTTTTATAAAAATACTTTGTGAAGTTTTGATGTCACACCTGTGGTTGATCAAATACAGCCATTTTTTTCAAGATTTTCGATGAAAGTTCAGGACAGTTTTGGCCTAGCTTCTTCAAGAATGGTCTGAGAGTGCTGTAAAGTAAAGGACATAGTTATTCCAGTTCTAACGTAGAACACAGAAAAAATATTTAGGATTTAACCAATACCTATTGAAGTGCTCAGAATACTGTTACAAAGCCACTGCAACATGTTTATGTTTAAATTCAACAATTATAAATAAAAAAACAGTAAAAACAGACATTTATATTTTATAATTCTGTTAGTAAGAAAAATGTTTTTCACATCATCTTGGAATCTTTATGCTTAATATATGCAAAGCCAGATGTTTACTGCTGGGTAGATGAAAACATCCTTAACCTTCTCTACAACAGTGATGCATTTGAAACCAATTCTATTCCTGATTAGGTGAATAAAAAGCTAACTGTATTGGAGTCAACAATGTAGGTTTACTGCCAAAGGTCCTGTACAGTCAGCGGTAGATGATTAGATGGATAACTGATTATTCTCCTGCTTTGAGGGGATTACAAATATCTTGCATTTAAGTGATGTTACTGGAAGTTTCTTCCCACAAAAAAAAAATCACCTTCAGACAATCAGAGTTCTGATGACATTATGTTGCTGTGGTTCTGTAAGTAGGACAGTTTTGAAACCCTTTATTTTTGGAAATATACAATACTAATGGGAAGGGGCTGTAAATGTACTCAAGCATTGACAGAGAATATGAACTTAATGAGTATCTTATTAAAAAAGAACAATGGAGGAGAATTTGTGGACGTGAACGTCTCCTCACAGCAGTGGTGTTGAGGATGAGACCCACACTGTGCTCTGGGGGAGGGGGACACGATGATGTCAAAGCTGAGGTAAAAAATGAAAAGGGGGGGAATCCTGCTCAGCTGCTGCACAGAATAAAACACATCAGAAGAATTAGGAGGGTGGGGGTCTAATTAGACTAACAGGCGGCTGTGGTACGTTCACGGACACCCTGAGTCCTGCTCCCATCATCTTATCCCTCCCTGTTCCTCATCCAGAGCCTGGTCGTCACACTGAGGTCCCCCCCACCCCCGCCCCCCTGTTGTAGGCGTCACATCTCCTGCTCCATCCTTGCTGCTTGGTGGTGGTGGTGGTGGATGAAGTCCTCGCTGCTTGGATCTCATCTACCTACGCTGATTACGCACGACGACGCACAGAGCTGAGCGACACGGATCTGCTGAGGCGGAGAGCTCCACGTCAGGATCCACGGCGTCTGCGGCTCCGGTCCACACTGAAAAGCCAGGCTGGGATTTCCTGCTGTTATTTCATATCTGACAGAACCTCCGTGCCGTTAATTCCCTCCCATCCGTGTGTGTGAGAGTGTGTGTATGCGCGTGTATGCGTGTGTGTGTTGGGTGGAGTCAAGCAGGAATTCTCCAAATTGGAAATCCATTGGCACAGATCAGGTAAGTGTGCGGCTGTAGCGCATCTCCTCATCAGTGTGGCGTCAGCAGCTCGGTCTGTTCGATTCCTTCATGAGAAAAATCATGGTTTTTTCGGTGTTTTCCTCCATGATGTCTCTGCATGTGTGTGTGTGTGGTTAGTGTGTGTTTTCTGGGCCGCAGCGCATGGATGCACAATTTCATGCTCTCAGACACAGGAGTCGCCCACGTTTAACAGTCATCATCATCACCATCATCATGTACAGGGTTCGGTTGGATTCATACGGCTCACATCTGTCTAAGCCTCACATCCATCTGCATGGGTGATGGAGAAGGCCTGGTGTAGAGGGGGGGGGCAGGGAAGGGGTGCTGGTTAAATCCACAGTCTGGCTTCAGATCCGTGAAGGCTGGGATTGGGTTGGATTAGGATGAATTCACCGTCTGTGTCCTGTTGAACTAAACATCTGCCTCGTTATTATACACCAGGACTAATTTAATGCCACTAACGGCAGTTAAAATNCCCTCAAACAACTGCCCCCCCAAACCCCTCTCTTATTTTAGTTAGTTACTTCGTTTTTCTGTATATAAATGCCTTCTATTGGACACACACAGTTGTTCCAAAAACACAAATCATCACGGCTGGAAAATTAAGAATAGTGGAAACTGAAAAAAATCTATAGATGTATAGTAAATGCAGTATATCTTCCTTTGAAGCCCACCCCCGCTCCCCTGCACATCCTTCCTCGTCCTGTGTTGATGCTAGTTGTTGTGGCTAGTTTAGCCTCGTCCTGGTCCGTGACGTGGTTCTGTTTTTTGTTGTTGTGTGTGACACATTTTAAATACGACATCAGTGACATTCACTAACATTGGAATATGGGGACCATTCATTGACAGTTGTCCATAGGACGTTTGGACGCTCAGTGTTAGCAGTGTTTTTGTATTTTTTTCTTTGTTTACATGAATTAAAACTGTTTTATTTTATTCAGTTCTTAAGAAGATTTCTTTCATTTAGACAAAAAAATAAACCAACTTGCACACAGTGATTGACAGCACGTTGGCCGGGACATCAGAAAAACACTTAGGAGACACTTAAACTAATAGTCTGCAGCACTCTGGTGTTCATTTGTCATGTTCACACACATTGACAGCAGAGTGAGGTGACAGTGTGGTCAGCCAGTTGACATCAGTGCGGGCTCTGCTGATCTGTGGAGTCGTACACTTTAACAGTGGTGGGCCACATCACCAAGACACTGTACATACAACTTTTTAAAAGTTAGGGAGGGAAATGCAAATATAACACAAACTTGCATCTCAAATTTGACCTTTTTTGTCAAGTCATGAAATCTACACACAACAATCGTGAGGCGTGAAGAACAGAATTTGTGGATCTGCTGCTGTCTGTCCTCTTATTATTTTGTATTATTTTTGTGCATTTGGGTTCTTTAGGTTTCAGTGTATTAGCATTGACTCAACAGTGTAGTGTAGGACCAAAACATACAGATGGTAGTGTGTCCCAGTGAGCTGGAAACACAGATATTCTCCTTCAGGTGTGAATGTTTCCTACACACTCATGTAGATGAAAAACGACGTGCAGTCAACCATGTTCCCGGTCGCAATCATTTACAACTAAGCTATTTAAATAGTAAACAAATATACATTTTTTTATTTAAATGAAGTACAGTGAGTACTGATACCACAGCCAGTAAACACAGTGTTTGTTAATTACCTGATAAATATGCCTACATTTTATTCTAAACCTGATTGTAGAAACCATATGAGAATTCAAAGACAATTCCATTTGGGGGAAAAAAAATCTAACATGCAGTACTGTCTCAAACCTCTAGAGGTTGTGGTCCCTCTGTTGAAGACCTCTGCTGTAGAACATGTCACCAACAAAACAACACCTGTGTTTACAGCAGTAACAACAGTGTGAACCGTGGGTCTGGCTAACAGAGACATGAAGGCATCAGTGGTTTCCCCCTCCAACAGCCAGAGAGAAAAACAAACAAACAGGAATCACCCTTTAATACCGCGCACCGTCTCCTTTTTGGACCTAATAATGGCCAACGGTGCATGAACTCTGACTGACGTGCTCAGCGGCCGTCTTCAAAAGCTCTTTACAAAGATAAAATGGAGCTGGGCTGCAGTGAAACATGTTCCCTGTAGACAAAATGGGACCTGGGATTTTTTATTTTTTTAATGTGCGGCAGAGAGTGGCAGCTCTGAGGGGCACAGACGTCACCCCGAGGGCCGCTGCTCTGCCAGACTAATGGGATGTTCAGTGACCCTAAGTTTCCCTGCTTTGTGCATGTGTTTGGCGTCACAGGAGCATCATGAAGGACGGCATCGCCAACAACAGCACGGCCAGCATCTCCCAGGCCAGGAAAGCTGTGGAGCAGCTGAAGATGGAGGCCTGCATGGACAGGATAAAGGTACAGCCTGGGTTTGGATTTCTATTGTTGATCACTGGGAATGTTTGATATTTTAATGGCATGTAATAAACTTATAATTAAAACTCGGCATGTCCGATAATATCCAATATTAGCCTAATTATGTAATATCTGTAAGAATCATCTTTTCTTTCTCTCTGATAATGAAATCGTGTAATGCCTTGGTTTGGTTGAATAACTTATGCCCTAAACAAAGTTAGGAATGAACGGCTGTATATAAAAGTGAAAGTCACTAGATGGCAGCATTGAAGCTCATTTAATTAATCTATTTTAACAAACTGGTGCCAACTTATACAGTGGTTTGTACAAGTGAATGAGTAAATATTGCCAGGCCTATATCGGTATTGGTTGATATCGGAATCTGAAATTAAGTGTTTGGACAATATCGGTAGATGGGATATTGACATTGGTTTACAACTCGTGATACTTCACAGTATCAACAGCTGCTTCGCGATCGATTGTTTAAAAAAAAAAAACAACAAAAACAACAACACACTTCACACTGAGTGCTGTAATATCTGTATGTTCAAGGTGTGGCTCTGGGGTTTTACCCGACACTTTTTTCGCCAACTTTTTAGTCAATTTCTTTAATATTAGGTTTTCAACTTTTTTTATTTGTCTTATTTTCTTGGCAACTGTGCATTGTTTTGTTGTATAACTATTTCTAGGTCACATTCCATGTATCTATACTATTTAATTAAATAATAATAATGATTCATAAATAAATTTTAATTTAAATGAATGGAGATTTAATGGAATGTTTCTCTATAGAGAAGTGATGCAGGAGCTGTCAGTTTCCACATTAATATTAATAACTACTGTGTGTGTGGCCAACTTAGGCAAATAAAACAAGTTTAAACAAAAGTAAACTTGTTTTATTTGTATCTGAACAGAGAGCTAAATATAGACCTACCTACAGTATTTATTTTGGTGGGCGGTCTGTGCAGGGACATTAGGGATTTATACGGTGACCTTCATGTCAACCTCTCCTCTCCGTGATTCAACACTGGTGTCTTCAGGCTGTAAAATCCAGTTCATTTAAGTGTATAATCCTGTATGGTTTTTAAAGATCTACACTGAGGCCTGTCTCCGACACCGTAGTGGATTTGTTGACTCAGGCTTTATCTCACTGCTGGTAAACTAGAGTAGACCCACTGCCAGCCTGTCTTCTCTAATGCAGAGGGAATGGTTTGACTGTGGACAGTTTCAGCACTGACGTCCGTGCAGTGACATCACAGTCAGAACTCAATTTTTGCTAAAAAAGCTTCACAATTTCATACTAACTCTGAAACTGTGTGCTTGTGGGTAAATGAGATAAACCATGGTTTTTGTTTTTAGCTGAAGAACAGTGAACAGTGGGGTGAGTCTAATGAGTTTTTTGAATTACTGTTTATTTATCAGCCAATCAATCAAAGCAAAAGAAAAAATATTTTTCTTCATTCTGTCTTTTCATTTTCTTCATGTAAAATGACTTTTTGCCAGATTTCCCTGCAGCCCTTGAAGCCCTGAACATGTTTGATGCATGTTTAATACCTCTGACAACTCAGTACCTCAGTCAACAGAGTACTGCAGTACTTCAGGGCAGCCATCTTCTGCTGGTGTCAAATAGAGTTTACCTTGATTGGATTGTGTCAGACTCTCACACTCACCTCACACTCTGGGAGAAAATTACCCACAAATAGTACCAGCCGAGGGTTTTGGTTAACTACATGATTCCTTTTAGCTCATTTGGTTTTTCTCTCAAATGGTTTTTGGGTTTAATTTGTGTTTGAAGCTCAAGTCTTAGATTCATGTTTGACCTGAGCTGCATTTAGAATCATTTTTTACAACAGTTTTGTTAAATATTGGGAACAGATTAAAGCAGTGGCTCACAAACATTTTTACAGCGCCCCCTTTAGACATGAATATTATCTTTTTAATGGATATTCTCACCAAAAGCAGAAAGTTAAATCACAAACCTTTTGTAGCTTTGACAAAGAAAAAAAAAAACGTTAAAAATGTATTGATTTTATCCTTCCCTGTCAGCCCTGCAATATATCCGTGCCCCTTATTTTTGGAAACCACTGTATGAGAGGAAGTTTAGATGAGTATTGATGTTTCCCGCTCCTTCCTCAGAGTTGTAAGAAGGTCGCTGAGTCGAAAGGACTCTGCCATTCTCTAAGATCGTACCCGGCCAATCAGCCGTGTGTCCTGTTGTTGTAACCTCAATTTACCGCCGTAAATGAACAGAGGTTGTTTAAATGGTTCAATTATGGGATGCTTCCTTCTTCACACAGAGGTCAGCTGGTCGTTTCCATCCCATGGTGCAACACTGGACTGAGACAGAGTTGATTTTCTCTACGCTTTTCTCCAAAGTCCATCTGCTCAGGGGCTTCACTCTGTTTGCATACTAACACCGTGGTGGGTTTAACGGCAACTACAACGACATTGAACGCCACATTAACTCATATCATAACATTTTTAAAAAAACATGGCAGCCAAGACGAAGTCGCATGAATTTCAAACAGTAACCTTTTTAAAGTCTCACAGGTCGTCCTGTTCCCTGTTCCTCTGAACCTACTCTGCTTATGAATCCATAATATAGGGTTTTTTAACCTTGGGGTCGCAACCTCATACGGGGTCGCCTGGAATTTAAATGGGGTCACCTGAAATGTGTAGTTATTCATTTTTAGAAAATTACTTTTAAAAAATATTTTCCCATCTAATTATTATTTCTTTTCAAAATGAACAGCGGTATTCTCTCACTTTCATGAATATAAATCAGGTCAAATAAAATGCAGCGTATAAAAATGTCTGATCTTGATTGACGGCTTCAATCACGCACAAGTGACAGTTTAGTTTAGTTTTAGTTTAGTTTTTTTTACATAATTCATTGTTTGAGAGAGAGTTTGAGAGATCTCTGTGGTTGCCACAATCTTTGATGTCAACATGGGAACCATATTATTAACCTCATCCAACTGCTGAGACTCTGAAGACTCACCGCTGTTCTCATGAGAAAACACAGCGGTAAATATTAACTACTGAACACAACCAGCTCTCCTGTGGCTGCGGTCACGTTGTTGTTAGAGAAGGATTTTGTGATGTCATTGTGTTCCGTGTGTTTACACCTTTAGCGAAGGGACAGCCTCCGACAAACACTTACTTTTATCATTGATGTCTTCTGCAACTTTGGGAACTCTTTCATCAACCCATTCTCTCAGCTGCTCATACATTCAGGGAACGTTTGTCCCCCTGCCCCGGGGCGGTTCACTCATCCATGTCAGGAGCCAGACAACGAGGCAGATTATAGGAAAAAAAATAATAATGATTTTTAGAAGCTCTCTACACAACATGACAACACTGTGTCGATGTTACGTCTCCCTGAACCAGGATACAGTGAGGAAGGACTTCAGTGAAACAAAAGTGTGTCAAAAAGTTCTAAGACATGCGTCAAAATAACTTGTAGGAATCATACAGTTAAATGGGTCGATGTGCACCTGATATCCCAAATTTCAACCATTAATCCGTTTACTTGTTATTTTGACTCACCAAAAGGTTTTAGTTTCACTGAAGCACCTCGACCTTTCAGATCCCAACGTTCTTCAGGTCCCTAGTGGTAAAAATGGACTAGGCACGTCTAGTTCCTCTCCTTTTGTCACACCTTTAACATCAACACGACGCAGCCTCTTACGTTAAAGGTCTCCTCCTCAGGTCCCTCCCCAGGGAAGGTGGCGTTCAGATGGGACTCTGACGAGTGTTGTACATAAAGGAATGTCATTAAGAATAGGACAAAATTTACATATTCAAGGACAGAATTGTGCCGCAGAGTTAGAATAAAAGACTGTTTTTTTCCCCCCGTTCTCTTAAAATCAAACGCCTCACTTTATACTGTACATCAGTTGCTTTAAAAGCAGAGAGTAGAAAGCAGTCACACAGTGTCATGGACGAGAACTAACAGTCAAGTCTTTGTCTTTACTCTCGGTATGAATTCAAACCAGCGAGAGGCTGTTTATTTTGTAGAATGGGAAAAC